AGAAGTAGCACATGCGGGTGATGGACATTTTCAAGAACTCTGGTTTTATAGCCCTAATTGCAATAGGTAGAAACACTGTCAGCATCACATGGCAATCGTGAGCCTTGCAGTGTGTTATTGACAAGTCCTTCATCGACACTATCTTCTTCATATTTGCTAAAAACCCAATCGGGACTTTGACCCTCCTCAGGAAAGTGCATATAGCTCTCTTCTTGTCTGGTGTTAGGTTGAAGCACGCCACGGGTAGAGTGCATTTTCCATTAGCCTCAGGTACCAGGTGAAGCTGTGGCATCACGTTTAGCTACACCATGTCTTTCCGTGCTTTCAGACCATCCTTTGACTTGCCTGTGTCCATCAAGGTAGCAATGAAACTCTCAAAGACATTCTTCTGCACGTGCATAGCATCAATGGCATGGGGGACCTCCAAGTCTGGCCAATAAGGCAGATACTGAAAGAAGATCGATTGTTTCTTGAAAGGTACGCCTTCGATAGGAGGTGTGCTTCTATCTCTGTTCGTCCCATCCGGATTCTTCTTTCTATAGACAACGCGTATGTTTTCACCATTCTGTACACGTGTTCTCCGTTATGACGTCTCTCCGGAGGGGGTTCAATCTCTAGGGCATTGTCATAAAATCTAAAGAACAATTTGCTGCGGTACTTGTGACTTGTCTTTAAGAAGCGTCGGTTCCTTAGGTAAACTATTTTCTTGGATGCATCCAGGTACACCCATGTAGTACCATCCAAGCAAACCAAGCATCCCATCTTCCCTTTGATCTGTCCAGACAAAGCAAACAGCGCGGGGTAATCATTGGTAGTAACAAATATTATTGCTCTACATATGAAGTCCTCCTTTCGGAACGCATCGTACATCTGCTCCCCATGCCTCCATAGCCTCTCCATTTCTTGCATCAAAGGCTCGAGGAACACGTCTATATCAATGCCTAGTTATTTAGGGCCAGAAATAAGAATAGTGAGGAGAAGGTACTTTCTCTTCTGACACAACCATGTTGGGATGTTGTACATGGTCAAGATCACTGGCCATGTGCTGTGGTCACTCATCCTCTCATTGAAGGGATTCATTCCATCGGTGCTCAAGCCAAACCGTATATTCCTTGGGTCATCGTTGAATTCTTTGTGCTTCTCATTAAACCTTTGCCACTGACTACAATCAGTTGGGTGTGCAATCTTATCATCATCCACCTTGCGCTCATCATCCCACCATGTCATGAGTGCGGCTTCTTTAGGGTTTAGGAAGATACGTCTCAAGCGATCGGTCACTGGCAGGTACCACACTACCAAGACAGGAATTCTTCTCTGCTTTGCATCGTTGCCTAATGGAGTATCCTCTGGGGGCTAAGATTCTTGTACCACCCTGTTTTGTACCCTTCTTATTCCTCTTTTTCCCCGTGGAGGCTTCGTCCCCACCGTAAAGGTCATTGTTCTTGTACCGGCTGGCCCCACACCGGGGACATTTATCCAGTGACTTGAACGTTTCACCATGAAAAAGTATACAGTGGTTGGGGCATGCATGGATTTTTTCAACCCCCATTGTCAATGGACTTATGACCTTCTTCGCTTGGTATGTGTTGGCGGGAACTGAGTTTGGTTGTGGCAGCACCCATGACAGGAGATGCAATAGATCATTGAAACTATAGTCTGACCAGCTATACTTAGCCTTCAGGATGAGCAGCTCAAGCATAAAATGTAGCAATGTCCAATGTGTCGGAGGATTCATTCCATCGGTGCTCAAGCCAAACCGTACATTCCTAGGGTCATTACTGAATTCTTTATGCTTCTCATCAAACCTTTGCCACTGACTACAATCAGCCGGGTGTGCAATCTTATCATCATCCACCTTGCGCTCATCATCCCACCATGTTATGAGTGCGGCTTCTTTAGGGTTTAGGAAGATACATCTCAAGCGATCGGTCACTGGCAGGTACCACATTACCAAAGCAGAAATTCTTCTCTGCTTTGCATCGTTGCCTAATGGAGTGTCCTCTAGGGTCTGAGATTCTTGTACCACCTTTTTTAGTACCCTTCTTATTCCTCTTTTTCCCCGTGGAGGCTTCGTCCCCACCATAAAGGTCATTGTTCTTATACCGGCTGGCCCCACACCAGAGACATTTATCCAGTGACTTGAACGTTTCTCCACGAAAAGGTATACAGTTGTTGTGGCATGCATGGATTTTTTTCAACCCCCATTGTCAATGGACTTATGACCTTCTTCGCTTGGTATGTGTTGGCGGAAACTGAGTTTGGTTGTGGCAGCACCCATGACAGGAGATGCAATAGATCATTGAAACTACAGTCTGACCAGCCGTACTTAGCCTTTAGGATGAGCAGCTCAAGCATAAAACGTAGCAATGTCCAATGTGTCGGACAACTCTTTTCAACACCATACACAGTCTCCTTCGATGCTTTTATCATCCTTTCCAAATTTTCTAGACCTTTTGGGCTATTTAGTAAAATCTCTGGTCCAAGGGCTCGAATCATATCCTCCAAATCATCTTCATCCCTGACACGTGCTCCACCATCATTATTGGCACCACCTTCATCGTTACCATCCCAACCACCAGCATCACCACCTTGTTCATTGCCAAACTCAAAATCCATTCGTGCATCAAACTCTGCTAAATATTGGGACAGGGATTCTATGGTTTCGTCGTCGTATTCCTCATCCTCGTCCTTAACGATAACCGTTTCACCATGATGAATCCACACTGTGTAGTCCTCAACAAATCCTCGCATAATCAAATGTGATATGATGATAGTCACATCTGTTCATGCCATACGGTTCTTGCAATCTTTACAGGGACAAATAATTGTATCCTTATTCTCTTTCAATGTCGTTGCATGTTTCTTTGTGGCTTCAATAAATTTATCCACCTCTTCACGGAAACCTGCCTTGAACCTTAACGAACCATATATCCAAGAGTTCATGTACTTCATCTTTTACAACAACAACAAAACAAACATTAAATGACTACTTATTCAGATATATATAAAAATGAATCAAATTAATAATTACTTGAGAATAATTGTATATACTTCAGATATATATGAATATAAATCTAATATAATTACATGAAGCATACAAACACACCATGATAGAGGAAAATTAATTAATGGCCCATTTATCCATAAATAATTAAAATACATATTTATTGATTACAATAAACAATTTCAAAGACAACAATTAGCAACAATTATACTTTACCCAATATCTTTCGTACAAACCCTAATCCAATTTTATCAAACATAAATTTACAAAAACGAAATTAATAAAAAAACCAAACCCTAGATCTAGATCTACATGCACATGAAACATACATAAAACTAACTAATTGTTGACTAAAATCAAGAAACATGGACCAAATAAGGGTATGATCTTGTTCCCCTCCCTAATTTACCCTAATACATTTAAAACTTGGGTCTAATTAGCTTCATAAGTAACTCAAGCACCATAGAAGAGAGAAAAACAAAACTTTAATTACTCACTAACCAACTATTAAAACTTTAAAAAAAGTGTGGAATAGCATTTTCTTATCTTCTACAACCTCTCCACCAAAAGATTTGAGACCAAAACCTTCCCTCCTTAGTAGAGCAATTTTTGGGAGGTGCCCAAGGCCTCCCCACCTTTCTTTCACGGGTTGGAGTGAGTGACCCGAGGAGGAAGAAGGTGCTGCAGTTGTGCTATATGTAGATCATCTGTAGGAGAGGCTGGTGATTGAGCCGCACCTATAAATCGGAGGTATTTTATATGGGGGCAATCACCAGCCGCCCCTATAAATAGTAACACCGGGGGTGGCTGATGAGTGAGCCGCCCCTACAAATCAGATCCATTTGTAGGGGCGGCTCGTATCACCAGCCGCCCCTGCTGTTTCATTTGTAGGGGCGGCTGGTGTCTGGACTCTCGAGCACGCCACAGTAGGGGCGGCTCGATCATCAGCCGTCCTAAAAAAAATTCGTCCCGTTGCTAAAAATCATTTTTTACGTAGTGCATGTACGTCAGCACGGCGAGAGCGACGTCCCGGTGCATCATCATAAATAGGTACACACACATGACACAACACAATTCATTCATGCTATATGCTTTTGCTAGCTTTTAGCCGCTATCCGTGCCTTGAAGCTATGCATGTCGATCGTAGTAGTTTTGGCGTCGCTGTACGTCTAAACGAACTGCATCATAGTCCATCGTCTCCATCCATGCAGTGCGGGTGGCGGCTGCAACTTGCAACTGGTGCCATGAACTCTATACTTGATCTACACGCTCCATATATACATGGTATGATATATATAAATTTTCTATCAACTGCCAAAGATTTATATATAGCACTCCTACCTCTTATCTTATTATAGTTCATCATATATAGAATCAGTTTAATTTCCATCACATATATGTTCTTGATAGAATTAAAAGGGTACGTAGATCAATACATCCAGTGATCTACTTTGTCACACATGCATGCAGTGATCGATCGTCAGTAAGAGAGACTAAGTGTACACCAAGATATAAGAGAGGAATCTAATTAAACACCCGCTTCTTTGAATTGGCATGTATGTATCATCCCCACAAATTTAAGTCTGGCCAATGAGAGTGCAGATGCATGGTGGTCTTGCTTCACCTTGACTTCAAAAAAAATCAGGGAAGAGGGAGAGACAGATCAGAGAGAGAGAAAGAGAGATCAGAGAGAGAGAGAGAGAGAGAGAGAGAGAGATCTTTGTCTTGGTAAAAACATTCATCACACAGCTGGTTGCTTGCAGTTTGTTCTTTGAATCAACTGGGGTAAGTTGGTCTTTGCTACTACGCATTGCTGCAAGCAACTCTAGAGAAAGGTAGTATATGTTTTTCCTTGCCACGAAAGATAATACATATATGACGGCCGGATGCCTTTAAATACGGCTGCGTCCTCAATCCCGTCTCTCCTCGCAACAAGTCACGAGAACAAGTTTCCTTTCGTCCCAACACACAAACCCACACCAAAAACTTGTCGGCCATGGCCTGCAGTCACCAGGTATGTATATATATATGCATGTGTAAAATTTGTGCAAAAGCCTGCTGCTTTTGTCGTACAGTACGAACAGACGATGAAAAATATACATACATACTCCATGCCGGCCCACTGCCACTTGTGTATTGTACAGTACTGTCGGAATGAAGCGCGTGCATATACTGCACGTCGTCTCTCATCACTTCCTTTGTTTTGCATGCATGCATGTCGATCGACCTGCAGGGTGATGTGGTGTTCGAGGTGGACGCCATCGGCTGGGCTCCCTCCGGTGCGCGCACGGCGCTGTCCCTGCACCACGAGCTGGACCCGGCCAGGCTCCCCGCCGCTAATAAAGGGGCGGCCACCGTCGGCGGGCACGAGCGCACGCCCAGCGGGCGGTACGTCCTCGCGACGGGGCTCGCCGACGAGGAGGACGGCCTGTGCCAGGCGATCACGCCGGGCGCGCTCAAGCCCCGGGTCACGTACCGTGTCGCCGGATGGATCAGCGTCAGCGTAGCGGCGGCGCCAGGCGCCGGGGTGGGAGGAACAACGACCAATCATCCCGTGCACGTCAGCATCCGCGTCGACGACGGCCGCTGCGTCATCGACGGCGGCGCTGTCGCCTGCTCCGCCGCCGCCTCCGAGTCGGAGGCAGCAGGCGGCGGCGGCAGGTGGGCGGAGATCAAGGGCGCGTTCCGGCTGAAGGAGAGCCCCCGCAGCGCGGCGGTGCACGTGCATGTGCATGGGGTGCCTGCCGGCGTGGACGTGAAGGTCATGGACCTTCGGATCATCGCCACCGACCCAAAAGCGCGCTTCAGCTACCTCAAGGACAAGACGGACAAGGTGAGCGACACGCCTCATTTACGTCTTGAAATGACCAACTTAACCAACTGATTTAATTTTGACCGCGACCAGGGCTTCATTATTCACAACCCTTCCCTTGTTATTTATTATCTCTCTCTATATATACCTAGAGCTAATGTGTTATTTATGTTCTTTTCATCAATCATCAACTACACTGTATAATTAAGGTCACTTAATCAGTGCCCATCACTCTCAGCCGCGCCGAATAATGATGCTAGTAAAAAATGCTCTCCGGCCGGCCTGGCGGCCTCCCGCCCCTTGTGGTGGTGAAGGCGTCTAGTCTACTCTAGACTCTAGAGTTATACTCCTATATGCTGGTGTGTTAGCATGTAAATACTCCGTACATTATAGGTATCCCTTCTTGTACGTGTCGATGACAAGTGCATGATGCGACAAGTAATAATAAGCTCGCTGGTACGTAGCTGCTGTGTGTGACTTGTGAGTGACATGCATGCATGGACCATGGCTGCCAGGTGCGCAAGCGTGACGTGGTTGTGAATGTGGGCGGTGCCCCGGCGGGCGCGTCCGTGCGCGTGGTGCAGCTGGACAGCGCCTTCCCCATTGGCAGCTGCATCAACGGCACGGTGATCCAGGACCCGGCCTTCGTGGACTTCTTCACCAACCACATGGACTGGGCCGTCTTCGAGAACGAGCTCAAGTGGTACTGGACCGAGGCGCAGCGCGGGCAGCTCAACTACGAGGACGCCGACCGCCTGCTCGACTTCTGCGACCGCGCGGGCAAGCCCGTGCGGGGCCACTGCATCTTCTGGGCCGTCGACGGCGACGTGCAGCAGTGGATCAAGGACATCGCCGCCTACGACCGGGACCAGCTCATGGCTGCCGTGCAGGCACGCCTCAACGGCCTCCTCGGCCGCTACGCGGGAGGTTCCCGCACTACGACGTCAACAACGAGATGCTGCACGGGCGCTTCTTCCGCGACCGCCTGGGCGACGACGTGGCCGCGCTCATGTTCCGCGAGGCGGCGCGCCTGGACCCGGGCGCCGTGCTCTTCGTCAACGACTACAACGTCGAGTGCGGCAACGACCCCAGCGCCACGCCGGAGCGGTACGTGGAGCTCATCCGCTACCTGCAGTGGCGCGGCGCGCAGGTCGGCGGCGTCGGGCTGCAGGGCCACGTGACCCACCCCGTCGGGGAGATCATCTGCGACGCGCTCGACGCGCTCTCCGCGGCCACCGACCTGCCTATCTGGTTTACGGAGCTCGACGTGGGCGAGCCCGACGACGCCCTGCGGGCCGACGACCTCGAGGCCGTGATGCGCGAGGCGTACGCGCACCCGGCCGTCCAGGGCGTCGTGCTCTGGGGGTTCATGCAGGGATACATGTGGAGGCAGGACGCCGCCCTCGTCAACAGCGACGGCACAGTCAACGACGCCGGCCAGAGGTTCATTGACCTCCGGAGGGAGTGGACCTCCGACGCGCGGGGCCGCCTCGACGCCGATGGACAGTTCAAGTTCAGGGGCTTCCACGGCAACTACGTGGCGCAGGTCACCATGCCCACGGGGACGAAGATGCTCAAGGCGTTCACCGTCGACAAAGGGGACACGCCTCTCATCCTGGACATGGATAACTGAACATCGCCGCCTGACAATTACATTACATGCCTCTCGACAAAGGGGACAAGTATTTGGATAGCAGCCGGCCGGCGGACCCCCTAATATATATTCCATAATAATCGGTACTGTATGTAATAATAATAAATAATATGAGTGATGATGTATTGTACTGGCTGAGCCTAATTAATTGAGGAGATATAGTAATAAATAAAGTAATATCAGTCGATTTTAATTCTATATACACGTGGAATATCTTTCGGCCAGTTATATCACTAATAACTTATAAAAAAAGCCTCGCAGCAACACGTGTGATATTCTTCAGTTTTCTATCATCTACAAACCTGTGCAAAATACATCTATCACTTATGTGCTCTAAACAAGTATTTGCTTAAGCTATTACTTCGATCACATCCTCTTCCATAAACTGGTTTTTACTTTAGATATCTATATCAAGATGTATCTACAACTAGGAGAAGCCGACGTTGTCATATATATATCAATACATTTTAAGTAATTCCAATAAACCAACACAAATACATTTCAAATTTGAAAGTCCCATATTATTGCCAAAGATTATAACTAAATTATTTATTTACATGGACATATATATGGAATAAAGTCTACATTAATTTTTTTATGAAAAAAGTTAAAGTTAACAAGGAAGCAACACAGGCTAGTTTACTAGTCGGTGTGAGTTCGAATCTTGGTGTCGTACATACCCTTTTTTCATTTTCTTTTCGCCTGCTGAGCTGTGTGGGCTAGGAGCCCAAAAGTGCCCAAGGTGGAGAGGGTTTGATTGCCTACTGTTTTGTCTAGGAGGTAGTTTTTTTTATAAAAAAAGTCTCATTTACCTCTCTCAACTATCACGTCTGATTTTCTTCTTGATCTACAAAATCAGTTTTTTAATCTGCCTTAACTTTTGAAAACCGTTCACTTTTGCACCCTCAGCGGTTTTGGTAGTGGTTTTGCTAATGTGGCGCCACATCAGCGAGGTAAATTGGACTAAGTTGGAAGTTCAAGGAGGTATATCGGATTAGAACTTCTTTTATAAAAAAAATATCTAAAAATTTATAAAATAATTTTAAAAATATGAAAAAATATTTTTTATATAAAAAATAATACAATTGAAAATCATAAAACCTAGTTTAATCTTAGAAAATTCATACAAAATTTGTTTTATCTCAAAAAATTATGAAACTAGTTCTAGATTTTTTTTCTAAAATCATGCTCTATGTTTTTTTGAGACAAAATCATGCTCTATGTTATATATTGCCTAGCTTGAAATATCTTGTTCGCAACATTTTGATAAAGTTTAATGACCTTTCTGAACAATCACGAAAGTTTGATTTACCTCATGGTGCCACGTATAATGGCTGACACGGTGCCACATCAGCTAAAACCGTGGAAGGTAATAAATAAGACGATTTAAAAATGAAGGGAGCCTAAAAGTCTGATTTTCCAGTTAAAGGAAGCAAATTGAACTTGTGCAATAATTGGGGGAGGTTAGATAGAATTTTTTCTTCTATTCTCTTCGTCCCAAAATAAGTGCATATCTTGCTTATCGTGAACTCAAACTTCTTTTAACTTTGACTAATGATATAGAAAATAATATCAATATTTATATTTATAAATAATTTTATTATAAAAAGTATATTCTACAACCAATTTAATAATACTTACTACATACTATAAGTATTAGTAATTCTTTTATGTATTTAGAAAAGTTCGACTTTTATATGAGCTCTTATTTTACGACGTAGGGAGTACTTTTTCTTTAGAACCGTTCGGGTGCGAAGGCAGATGCCATATCATTTGTAAAGCCCAGTTTAATAGCACTCCCTATAATCGGAGGAGCGGTACCCAACGGCGGTGGCCGCTCCAAACGATAATCTAGCGATTCATGTTTTTGACCTAGGCTTCTGCTCCCCACCGATTTGCTCTGGATTCGGCGGTCTCCAGCGACCGTACGCCGCTGCGGACGATCGGCACGGCCCCGCGCTTCTCCCCGTAGCGGCGAGGCTCGCCCGCGTCGCCTCTCTCCGTCGCGGAGGTTCGCCCGCACCGCCTGGAGCCCTGGAGACGAGCAAGAGCCGGAGCCGAGTGACGTTGGAGCTGAGTGGGGAGCGAGTGGAGCTGGAGCTGGAGCCAGAGCGGCACGAGAGCGCTACCAAACGGGGCCTGCCACGTCACGTGGAATGCGTCATCGGTCCGACACCTGAGACCAGCGCTCCTGCTTGTCTCTGTCATCGGCCACGGACGGCGGCGGAGCATAGGCATAGCAGCAAGCAAGCAGCGGAGACGCCGGAGAGCGGTGAGGAAACATGGAGAAGGAGCAGCTCGGCACGCTGCTCCGCGACCTCGACGCGCTCAAGCAGCATCCCGACGACCTCGCCTCCACCATCGATCGGGTATCCCTCCCAGTCCCACCCGGCTGCACCATGGATCTCGGCAGTTTCTATAGCCATCTTCCCTTCTCCGGTGCCTTTCCAAATCTTGATCCCGGTTCATCTGATTGCTAGATGCGGGAGCGGTTAGTGGCGATGATGAATCCGGCCGCCGGCGCCGCTTCTCGATCCAAGATTAAGGTACGATCTGAGGGCTGATTTCCGCGTTCAGGCGCTCTGCGCTGTCCAAATTGAGTGCGATAGTTTTGGACAAATTGTGGATTTTACTCTGTTTGCGCGAAATTGGGGATGCAGGACATGAGCGCGGAAGTGGTGGACAACAATCCCTACAGCAGACTTATGGCGTTGCAGCGGATGGGTGTAGTGGAGAATTATGAGCGCATCAGGGACTACTCCGTCGCCATCGTTGTAAGCATCCTTCTCACCTAGTTTAGCATTGCTACTCTTCAAACTTAGTTACATCAGCGCAGAATTTCGAAATTGGCATTTACTTCCATCCTCGAGTAGAGGAAGCCTCTCCATGTACTAGTATTATGCACTGAAAATGTCATCGATCTGGATATCACGAAGCTGAAGGGTCTCGTGGGACCATGCGAACTCGAGTATCTTTATCAGTATTGAGATTAGTCTAGGTATTACCATGTACTATGTGCTTAATATGGAAAATATAGTTATAATACCTGGTTATTTTTTTTCAAAGGTTTATAATACCTGTTTAGAACAACCAGCTATTGTGCTACTATTATTTCTGCATGTTGATATATTTAAGACAACAATTCAAAGTTGGAAAACAGAAGAGAATTTGTAGCTTCATCACATCATACATGAAAAGATAATTTAGCACATATAGATGAGGAAATTCAACTCAGAGCAAACCTTTGATTTATTGTCATTATCTTTACAGGGCATAGGTGGTGTTGGTAGTGTTGCTGCGGAGATGCTCACTAGATGTGGAATTGGACGCCTGTTGTTGTATGACTATGACACAGTTGAGTTGGCTAACATGAATAGGTTGTTCTTTCGTCCAGAACAGGTAAACTTCCAGGACAGGATGTTATGTGTTTGCCTTACCTCTTGTGGTTGTTTGTTTTACACCAAGACATTTTTCATGTTGAAGTGCTTATGTTCACTGCTCTGCAAGACTGCAAGAACATAATTCAAATCAGACCGTGACTATATTCAGTCCATATACTTTGTTAGGTTGGAATGACCAAAACAGATGCTGCTGTACAGACACTTTCTGGAATAAATCCTGATGTTGTGTTGGAGGTCAGCAACTATGCCCAGTATCAATATTATTTGTTAGCCTTTTTTCCTACATCAGTAAACCAAATCATTTCATTAGATTCTGAGCATCATTAGTTTTTGGTAGTAGTGACAAATATAGGGCATGCGGTTTTTGTTGAACTAACCATTCTTAATGTTTTCTACTTTCCCTTACTTATTCATCTTCCATTGTATTTGTATAAAACTAGAAGTTTTTGTTGTACTGTTTCCTCTTTACTATCTTTATTACATGCTCCAACTTGGTACATTGCCTTATGACATGCAAAATAGCAGGCATGATTTCTTTGCTTAGGCCGTATTGGATGGAGTAGCAATACCATTGTATTCCTTGTCTTATAAGATATTCTAACATCTCTTCTCTACTGTAGAGCTACTCATTGAATATTACTACAGTCAAAGGTTTCGAAACATTTTTGGCAAGTTTAAAAGCACGGAGCTCTGATGAACGTAGCACTGGAGTTGATCTTGTCTTGAGTTGTGTCGATAACTATGAAGCTCGTATGGTTGTAAACCAGGTGATTTGTCCACGCACAACTAAATTATTTTGTCCCTCCGTCACGTGCCTTATAATAACATTATGTGCATAGTTATGTATTGTGGTGCAGTTCATTGGTGGGAATTTGCTTATTTGTTCTTTGTACCTGCTTTTCAGGCATGCAATGAGCTCGGTCAGACGTGGATGGAGTCTGGTAAGTTGGAAATCACATTTATTGACAGCAAAACTTTTCAGAAACTGCATTCCTTAACAATATGCTTATTGCCTACTATTCTTGTGTAATGCTGCCATTGTATCTCGTTGTATACCCTAATCACACCTCAAATGTGTCAAGCCAGCTTCACTTGTATAATGTTTTCTCCTTGCTTTATATCACTAGTCAGTATCCTTCAGCCATGATACTTGGTAATCAGTTGAACCTTGTGCATTGCTAATTTTTCAAGGCACACAAGGGAAACTGATTTTGTCAGGATTCTATTTTACTGTGTTATGCTATTTTTTTTATAAGGATGTTCAATATAGTTATACAGGATTATGGGTTCAAAGCAGAGCTTTTCTTCACATAATTCGTTTGAAAAACAGTATGTAATTGCAATCCACAGAAATATACACACAAGTTTAAGTTTTGAAGCTTACTGGATTACAGCCCATTCTTTATTGAACTCAGTGTGATGGTGCAATGCTGAGATAGCTTCTGGCTATGTACAGGTGTCTCAGAAGACGCTGTTTCTGGTCATATACAACTGCTGGTTCCTGGTGAAACTGCATGTTTTGCATGTGCTCCTCCATTGGTATATTCTTTTGATCTTATATTTACTATTGTTTAATGG